CATTAGGAAATATCTTCACAGACATACTCAGAAATAATGTTTGACCAGGTATTTGGGTATCCCTTTGCCTAGTCAAGTTGACACATGAAATGAACCATCACAATATTTTACATTTTCACTACAATGCTTCTAGGTATCGATTTATTTATTTATTTATTTATTTATTTATTTATTTATTTATTTATTTATTTATTTATTTATTCTGTTAAGTCATGTTTTCTACTTTTTGTGAGTTCATGTCTTTCATCAAATTTGGAAGTTTCTCCAACATTATCACTTCAAATATTGCTTGTCTGCTATCACCCTTGTTTTTCCCCTCTCTGGGATTCTAATTAGACCCAAGTTAGACCTTACTCTATCTTCCAGCTTTCTTAATTTCCTTTCTATATTTTCTAGCTCCTGTTTTTCAGTTCTGCATTCTGGGTAATCTCCAAAGACCTATACTTACATTAATGCATTTTCTCTTTAACTGTGTCTAATAGAATATTTGGCTCATTCACAATTGTGTTCGTAATTATAATTTGTGTTTATACACATTGTATTTAGTTCTTCAAGTGTACCTGGTATTTAGGACAATCTCTTGGGAATTTTTTCTCAATTTTTTTTTTCAGAGAGAGGGAGGGACAGAAACATCAATGATAAGGGAGAGTCATTGGTCTGCTCTCTCATGCCCCCCACTGAGGATCAAGCTCACAACCCTGGCATTTGCTCTGACTGGGAATCGAACCAAAATCCCCTGGATCATAGGTCAATGCTCAACCACTGAACCACGCTGGCCAGTCTCTCATTTTTTATTTCACTTTCATTAAGTATACTTACACATATTGATCATAATTATTTTACATCTGTTATCTAAGTCTATGATGGTTGATTATCTTTTATGTGTTGGTTTTGCTCACTTTCACTTATTTTACTTTGTTTGCCATGATTTGGTGATTTTTAATCTAAGGAAATTGTGAGAACATAAATTGAGAATACTTTCCATCACAAAGAATTTGATTTTACTTTTGCTTTTGCTTTTACTGGAAACCAGGTGATGCTACTTCCTTAGATCTACTTTAATCCTCTCCTACAGTCCTGGCTTCATATAAAAATTTGGGGTCCTGCCTTCTCACCTAGCAGTATATCTAAGGCTTAGTCTTCAGATCTTAAGTTTAATATCTTCATATATATATGTATATATCATGTGTGTGTGGTTGTGTGTGTGTATTTTCATTCAGCCTATGTTATGTAATTGGTACTTTTTGTAGTTTCAGGTATGGAAGAAGAGTGCAAGGACAAGAGATATATGATTTACTATACCATATGCTAAATCATAGCCCCGACTGCCATATTTTCAAAATGAACTTAAGTATTGTGTTGAATTACATAATTAAAATATTATTCAGTTGCACATTAAATATTATAGTCTCTTTCTTATTCTTCTAAGATAATTTATTACTGTTTACTGACTTCCATTTTGCATGTGAAAATCCTTTGTCCAAAATGACTGTCTATAATAGTTCCACAAGATGCTAAAATTTTTTTAAAAACTTAAGAAATCTGCAATCATCACTAAACTGTCAGCTCCACCCACCAGATTTCAAGTTCCATGAGTGCAGGGTTTTGTATGTTTTGTTAATCATTTTAATTCCAGCATCTAGAACAGTGCCTAACAGGTACTTAATACATTCTACAAAGAATCACTTCCTTTTTTGAGATTATAGAAAGATGTGACATATGTTACCCTTATTTCACTATACAGTTATGCTTAAATTTCAAAGGGCAGAAACTTTATTGTGCAAACTTATTTAATCCAAATTTCCTTATCTACTCTAATGGTCACGAAGAACCAGTATTGTGCTGGATCACTCTTACACAGGAATATTTTACAGAATTATGCATGTTTTGTGAGTATAATCTAAGAATCATGAAATCCCTATTATGACATTTCATTCTTGATTGGTTTTATTTTTTGCAGTCTTTCTGTTTCAAATCAAATTTGTTACTTTTGTTTCTCTTCTAAAACAATGTGAAAAGCTGAGTGTCATTTCTGCTTTTGACATTTATAAAATGGTATTACAATGTTTTGGGATTTGGTCCATCAACTTTGTCAACTAAATTTAAGATTGGTGTGCCCTATAGTGTGTCAGGCAGTTTCCTTCAGCCTGTGCTATAACTAGTACTTTTTGCAGTTTTATGTATGGAAGGAGAGTGCAAGTATCAGTAGACTGACGACTTGACAATGTTTCCAGCCTGCTATCTTTTCTCAAAGGTACATGTTTAAAAGACTGGTTCTCTATCCCTATGGTTGGTAACATCCCACAGAATACCACTTACCAATCAAAAAGGTCCACATAAGAGTATTCATTGATCCTAAAAAAAAAAATAGAAAATAATAGGCACTAGTCTTGTATTTCTTCATTTATTTATCCACTCTTTTGGGGGAATTTTCACTGAAAATGTATTCTCTAATCCTTTTACTCAGTTACAATATTGAAATAACTATCATTTTAGGAACTGAGGTAGATGTAATAAATAAGATGGGGTCCCTGACCTCAGAGATTTTACAGTATGGCAGAGGAGATAGATGTGGATGCAGAAACTTACATGTAATAGAAGTCCTTGTGTTGGATACAGAGTGCTATGGAAACGCAGAAGAAAAGGTAACTAATTGTTCTTGGACTGAGATTTGGAATAATGGGAGAAGTTTAGGAAAAGTCCTCACAGGAATGAGATGTGGCTTTGGCTTAGAAGAATAGAAAGCAATTCATCAGACATTCTCATTATAAAAAATGCCATGTATATTCTCTTTTTGATGCCCTTTTGGAAGAGAGAACCTCCAGGATCTTCTCAGGTAGACTGCTGGTGTTCAGTCATTCTGCAAGTCAAGAACTTGAGTACTTTCTCAACTTCTGCTTTCTATTTAAAATCACTTCCTTTTGCCTGGAGGGGTGTGGCTCAGTGGTTGAGCAACAGCCTAGGATCGAGGAGATCAAGGTTCGATTCTCGGTTAGGGCACATGCCCGGGTTGTGGGCTCAATCCCCAGTCAGGGGTGCGTAGGAGGCAGCCAATTAATGACAACTCTCTCATCATTGATGTTTCTATCTCTCTCTCTCCCTCTCCCTTCCTCTCTCTGAAATCAATAAAGATATATAAAAATAAAATATAAAATAAAATAAAATAAAACAAAACAAAATAAAATAAAATCACTTCCTTTCATTCCACCTTCAGTGCAACCAGAGATCATTTGGGTTTTTTTCTCCCATTTTTAAGTCTTTTGTATTCTTTACCTTCTGAAAACTATGTCTTATTTACTTCAAAAGGAGGAACAAAAGTACATTTTAACCATGGAGTGCTATGAAAATCTTAGTTGATGTTACTATTATAATTTCGTGTACTGTATTGATTTTTCAGATAAGAAAACTTGAGACTTTGCATAAATGACACCCAAGTCATATGGCTAGAATGGTGGAAATGGGACTTTGATGTACTCTCAGAAATTGGTTTGCTCTTTTCTTGACACCACTGTGCCTCCCATGGTCTATTTGCAAGTCAGATGACTCATCCACATATTTGTTCTCTCCAAGTACAGAAAGAAAGAATGTTGTTCATGACTTAGTAAACAATGGCATTTTAATAAAAATGACACTTTGGTATTAAAAACATTAATCTTTTCTTTAAACCCACAATTTTGTTGAATTGACAGTGTGCTAAAATAATAAACATTTAGAAGTTTAATTTTTTAATATGGAAATTTCTTTCAGTAATGACTTTTAAAACTCTTAAACTTTGAACTCATTCATTCATTTATCCATCAAACCATTTATTTATTTATTTATTTATTTATTTATTTATTTATTTATTTATTTATTTTTTATTTATTTTTACCATATACTATGATAGGAATACAGAGGACTAAGACCTGGTTTCTGACAGCAACTTGGGCTACAGGTCATTTCTGACATTCTCCCCACTAAATTCTGCTGCTATCTTCTGAAGCATTTTCTTATTTATTTATTTATTTATTTATTTATTTATTTATTTATTTATTTATATATTTTTAATCCAGACCTTGATGCCTCTCTGAAAGAAGGATTTGGACAGAAACTCACACCAATCTCTGATAGAACCTAACTCAAGTTTTACCTAATTGTAAGCAAAAACTAGGAAGCTTATAGTACCCTCGGAATGACGGATAATCAGAATTATCATATCGTCTACAAATATATTTTTAAACAAAAGAAAAGTAGTGGGGGGTAATCCAATTCAGAGAGCTGCCTTGTTCAGTAAACTGGCTTTAAAAATATCTACTTTGTCTTCTCATTAAGATTCAAGAAATAATTGAATTTATACAATTTTAATAAACAAGTTTGAAAATCTCAAGCAATGAGGGACTGCTTGAATTTGAAGGACATGACTACCAAATGGAAAGGAGATAGAAGCAGACAGTAGGAGGGGAATACTGTACAAAAAAATCAGTTCGTGAAGTAGAAAAGAATTTGCAAAGCTCTCCCAGAACACAGAGAAATGAATAAAAGGTTGACGTGATGAGGGAGGTAATTAAAAAATATGAGGAAAGATTATGGAAATCCAACCAAGGAATATAGAATTGCCAAAGGAGAGAACTGAATATGTGGACCAGAAGCAAAGGTCAGAGAGTTAATGGAAGAAAATTGGGTGATCCAAAGAAACTCAACCTAAACATCTAAACATCAAAAGTATGAATAGTACTCTGGCAAATGCCATAACAAACCTGTACTCAGCAATACCTAACCATTTTCAGTTATTAAGAATGTGTAAAAATCCTAGACATTTTCAGCATGCTCCCCCTCCCAGGCACACACAAAATAAAACCAACCACCACCCATCAAGTTATTTACTGTATTAGTATCATCCCTGCAAGAAACAGGAACCACCTCTGATAGTTCAGTGAAGAGACTTTAATCAAGGCATTACTTACAGAGAGGATTAGAGGTGCAAACAAGGTGGTTGAAGTGCCCAGAGATTAGCAGCAATGGGAAGCTGTCCATACCTTCTGAGCTGAAGGAATGAGGGGAGAAAATTGAGTTTAGTTTAATGAGCTGGATTTCTGGAGCAGGGGCCTTGTGTGGGTTCTAAAATTGTGAAGGGACATGGCTCCTGTTATCAGTGAGCAGGGTGGAGAATGGGAAATGGTAACTTTGACCTCTCCTGCCCTCTGATCTGCTGGTATTTACCATTGCTGGAACCAGGAGACAGCCAGCAAGCAGGCCCCACACACACACACACACACACACACACACACACACACACACACACACACACACACACACACACACACACAGAGCTGGTTAGAGAGGGTAGAGAAACATGGAATGGATCTGGATGATGGAGCGGGATGTGGATAAGAAGATAACTGGTGTATCCAGCAAAGATCGAACAATTAGCTCAACTGAGAAATGTCCAGTTAGCTTTGGGATGGGGGCAGGGCACTGGGTAGCACATGGATTCTGTATCCAATTACTTTGTTGTTCATGTGTATATGAAATGACAAAATAGTCAAGCAAAAGCATGGGCTTCAGGAACCTCCTGGGGGATTCAGTGAGACTCAAGCTCTGCTTTCAGTGAGCTTGCAGTCACGTTAAAACTCAATTTGTAATAAACAGTGCCATGTGTTGAGAGGAAAAACTTTGCTACCAACTTATGTCGGACTGGTCAGGGGTCTGCAAATTAACTGACAATAGAAGGATTAATAAGAGATGATGTTATTATGGATATAGAAATACCCTATATAAATAGCAGCTCCCAGAACAGCTAAGGGTAAAGGTTTATACACCAACTTAATAAAGTCTCGAATGGAGGGGGGGGGTAATTTAAGGGCATCAAAAATATAAGGTTCTGCTGAGGCTTGTTTGCACAAATTCTTTTGGAATGTTCTGGTGCCTAAGATCAGTGCTTCCCTGACTAGAGACCTCCTTGGAGGTTGAGATTGTGGCAACTGACTCATAAAGATCTGTTCTAGTCAGATGAGGAAAGCTCAGATAAGCATTCTTTCTTTACTTTCTGAAACTTAGATGTTTTCACTTTGAGGTAAACTCAATACAAGTTTGGTGGGTTGTTGGTCTTTTCACTTGGCTGTGAAAGCAGACACACAGGGAACTGTAGGAAAACCTTGGAGGGGAACCTACTCCAGGATGATCAGAAAGAGACTCCTGATCTTAGTTGAGCCTGAAAGATGAGTAGCTGCCAATAAGGCAAAGCAGCTCAGAAGATATCTAGACAAAAGGATCAGCTGTATATACAATCAGGTTGCCACTAAATGAGTTAATTAAAATAGCCTAATTGAACCTTCCAAGAAAATTTTCATGGAGAACTTTCTTAGTCCACGTGGGCTGCTATAACAAAATACCTGAGCCTGGGTGGCTTATAAACAACAAACATTTATTTTTTCACAGTTCTGGAGTCTGGGAAGTCCAAGTTCAATGGGTTTGCAGATTCAGTGTCTGGTGTGAGCCCACTCCCTAGATGGCCATCTTTTTGCTGTAACCTTACATGCAGAAGGGGTGAGCTAGGTTTCTGGAGTCTCTTTTTATAAAGACACTAACCCCAACTATGAGGGCTCTACCCTCATGACTTAATCACCTACTAAAGGCCCCACCACCTAATACCATTACACTGGGAATTAGGTTTTAACGTATGAATTTGGGGTGAGGGGGGGATACAAAAATTCAAACCATAACAACAACTGATGTCATATCTACACTGAAGAAGCATTTACTGGTCACCCATTAAGGAGCTGGGACTGGTGACACAAAAACATGTAAAATACATTCAATTACATGTGTTTGAGCAGATGCAGGGAGAAACAGGTAAACGGGGAATTAGAACAGCTTTTATTTTTAATTATATTGAGAAATAATTGGCACACATTATTGTATAAGTTTAAGGTGTGCAAAATGATGGTTTGATTTACATATATTGTGAAATGATTACCACAACAGGTTTAGTTAACATTCATCATTTCATATAGATAAATGAAAAGAAAAAAATTTCTCCATGTGATGAGAACTCTTAGGGTCTACTCTCTTAACAACTTTCCTATAATTCATACAGCAGTGTTAGCTATTGTCATGTTGTACATTACACCCCTGTTTATCTTATAACTGGAAGCTTGTATGTTTTTACCACCTTTTTCTAATTCCCTTTCCCTCCATCCCTCTCCTCCGGTAACCACAAAACTGATTTCTTTTTCTAGGAGTTGTATGTTTTTGGGGTTTTTTTTTAAACTAGATTTTACATATAAATGAGATCACAGTATTTCTCTTTCTTTCTTTCACTTATTTCACTCAGCATAATGCCCTCAAGTTCCATGCATGTTGTTGCAAATGGTAGGATTTCCTCATTTTTTATAGTTGAATAACATTTCAGTGGTGTGTGTGTGTGTGTGTGTGTGCCCATCAATGGACACTTAGGCTGTTTGCATGTTTTGGCTATTGTAAATAATGTAGAGCAGCTTTGGATGACAGCTGTGTTCAAAGCACCTTGAGAGAATGCAGATGCTGGAAAGCACCCCATTTTCTCTGTGCCAGCAACAGGCTTGACTTGATGAGCTATACGTGGCTCCCGGATCATCTTGCCCTTAGAACTTTGGTGTTATGTTTAGAGGTACTCCAAATAAAGTGTCACTAGTAAATTTCATGTTAATACCATCTTTGTCAATGAGAATAATGTACTGAAAGACATGCCAGCAAGTTGGCAATACCAATTCTATTGTCTCCATTTATTTTTCATCTCTTTTCACTGCTGAGCTTCATCACAGTAAGAGAAATAGTGTAGCTAACAGTATTAAGTTTCCTAGAAATTTAAATAAGTAAAATTATGCAGAGAATGTCAAAAATCTTTTTTTTTTCTTGCTGTTTATTCAAATAAAGAAGACATTGGGAGTTCTTTAACTAATCCCACATAAAAAGTATATGCTGTATCGGTGTACACATTAGTAGACATTATTTTTCACAATTCTCTAAGGGACATACAAAATTTTAAAAGCACAAAGAAAACAAAATTTAAAAAAATGTGGTAATAAATTACATATAGCCTGAAATTCAGGTCAGTAATTAATTAGAACTGTTCAAAATTACTTCATGCCTGGAAAAACAAGACTTCTATTATATTTATAATTAAATTTACAATTAAGTATTCTGCATGGCATGTATAAAGACATGTTTATACAATGTAATTTTATATTATTTCTCAATAAAATAAGCAAAATGCAAGCGGGATTTAATGTTTAATATACAGAAATTTAACTCTCATGTACTGTCCCTTTGTAGGAAAACGAAAACTGGTCAAATAAGAAACATGCAGGTTTGGCTTATTTTTAAGTTACTAAAATAGTGTGATTTTTTTTGGTAGCTCTGAAAATAGAGTAATCTCTAATGAAATATATGCATGAAGGGAGCCATTAAAACACAATTTATCTTCTTTATCTAGACTTGTGATAAAATGTTCCCTACTAGTAAAAAAAAAAAGAAAGAAAAAATAAAAAGGTGCTGTGAATTGAAGAGCTGAGCCCTCTATCAAGGGACTAATGATTATTGTATTTAAATGTAAATGGAGTAGTCTTGAGTGCTCTAAAATTTGTGAGAAAAGACTGTGGAATTGTCATTATCGTGTCATTACTGTGGCTCCCCCACAGGAGCAGTTGTGAAGGTGAGGGGCGGGGGTGGTGAACTGAACCTCTAAGAGCCAGGATGCTTCCTGCAGAGTGGAGCTGGTGAGTAGGGAAGCCTGGCAGCACCACCAAGCATCCAGGATTTGGAGATGTCAAGTTAGGAAACAAGAGCAGGGAACACAATTTAGAAAGTCAAGTCAGAGAGAAAGAGCTAGACTAGGAGCAGAGGCCTATGGACACTGGCTGATGGGTGAGGAAGGGACTGAACAGGCTGATTTTTTTTTGAAGCCTGGATCAATCTAGGGCTAGGTTCAATTTGAGAAGGACTTTATTATTCCAGAAACAGAAAGGGGCTCAAAAGCAATAAATTGTCGTTGGACTGGGAAGTGAAAATGGAACAAGACAGAATAGAGGACCCATGGCCCTATGAAATTGTGTGTAAAAATGTATGTCTCTGCATTTTTTCCTGGGGAGATCAGATCCTTAGCAGGCATCAAATTCTCAAAGGGATCAGTGACTCCTGACCTCCCTCAGCCCTCCTCCCCCTCCAAAAAACACACACCACTGACCTAGAAATGAAATTTAACAATTTAGGGAGTTCTTACCATCTGAAAGTAAAATGTCAACAGTGACCACCTGAAAGCATTTATTGTTTTAGATTTGTGCCAAGAATTATATTTGTGATTAACCCAAGATTATATTTGTGATTATTTCCCCCCTCAACTATATTGTTTATTTCTAAATCCCTTCACACTGTAGTGAAATTTGTGCATTTGAGATAAATGTGTGTTAAACTAATGGATAGGATTGAATGAAGGCATGTCTTCTTGGAAGAAATGAAAATCCAGAGCTCAAAGATTAGACCTTCAGTCTGTCCCTGCACCCTTCCTCCTTCTCTCTCTATCCTCAGTCCCCAAGCCCAGATGTGGTGCTAACAAAAGCCAGATTTTTCCTGCCAAAGAGCACTATCCATATTTTTTTTAGTCTTCACTTGTGAGATTCATTTTCCCTTTTGATATATGTACTTGGGCCTTTCTCCCTTTCTCCACATCCTATTTAATGTGGAGTGACAAAACCTGGCCGCCACACACGAGCAGGATGTCATTCTTAGTGTGGTATTTGCTGCCCACGTCAGCTTGGGTTTGCTAGGCGGCCGGCCGTCCAGGCACCTGACAACTGCTCTTTGTGCAAGTTTACATCAGTTGCAGTTCTAAGCTGCTTTCTCAGGAGGCAGGTAGCATCAGAGGCCACACAGAAATGGAAATGGTGGGTGCTGAACTTGGTGACTGGGCTGCTATTAGATCAGTTAAGGATTATTCATCATCTAGCTGGAGGGGAAATTTGTACGTGTTCTCAATAATTATAAGTTAAATGCCAAAATATAGGCACG